GGGCTTGTCCTGTGCGTGGCGACCTGCGTGCCGGCCCGACGCGTGGTCGGAGTCCCAGGCCGGCCCCCGCCCCCCGCGGGACTCGGGGCCGTGGGGTGCAGGTGTGGGGAGACGCGTGCGCGCGCTTCGGCCCGGCGAGCGCTTGTGGAAGGTGGGAGCCCCTTCCGTGCCGGGGGTCGCGGTCCATGCTGAGTGCAGCCCTAGCGCGAATGAGGACATGAAATGCCTCCCAAGTACGTTGTTAGTTTTCTGTGTTTTTTGGAATAAAGATACATTCGTGAGCAAACTAAAGTAAACTTTTGTCTGCTTCAAGGTGAGATCTGTGACATACTCTCCACGGTAGTCAGCAGTTTACCCTGAGTTTTTTTTTTTTTTTTAACTCACCAGACACCCACATCATATAATCCGCTTGGCTTCCTTGAATGAATGAACTTTAAATGGAATATTTAGTGGTGTGAAGAGTCAGTGTTACTTAAAAATATGAATGGCATTTACCAGGGTTTACAGTGAAAACACAGAAAACAGTTTTGCTGGTTTACTCTAATTTTTCCTCGGACCTACATGGCCTGGATGTGGGAAGGTTCAAGATCTGACCCTGCTGCAAACGAAATACGTGGCCACCACCCCCACCTTCCCCCTACATTCTTGTCTTGGAGGATTCTGGTCTGGGACAGTGGCTTTGATAGGATTCTTAGAAAAGTTTGTTATCTGGCGTTTTCAAGGAATTTCCACTTCGAGGCCTGGGTATCACCCAGGTTGTTCACCTGAACCTTTATCTTTTTCTCTATTCCACTGAGCTTTTTTTTTTTAATTTTTTTTTTTCTTTTGCCTTTATTATTTTTAAAAAATAGTTTCTAAATTGGTAGCAGGTACCTGGCCTTGCCTTTTCCCCTCTTCCACTGGCAGGCCTTGAACGCCCTCAGGGTGTCGCTTGACTGCCTACCTGGCTAGGACACCTGGAGGGAGTGGCAGGGAAGGGATTTGGGTGCCAGCCGCAGCCCTGCATGCAGTGTGGGAAAGGTTTGCTGTACTGACTGGATTCCTAGTCCTTTTTATTTTTTCTCCATAGTTTTCTCTAGTTCGTGTAGAATTGAAAAGCTGTTTTTAATAGCTCTTTTTTTTAGAGAACAGACTGTAAGTTTAAGATTGTCTTGTTGTGTAGCTTTATTTCTTAGGGAGAAACCCTGCTAGTTTTCTCCAGTGTGGTCATTTTCAGGAAACATGGAATTAGTGATGGTACCTTTTGTGTTGCTCACATAAGTAATTATATAATTTTGTTTAAAAGTCATGATACAGTCTGAGAAAGGGGGAATGCTGTATGTCTGTTTCTGAATTTGTTGGAATTACTGTTAATTCCCTCAAAAATATGCTATTATGAGAAACAGGATGTATGCACATGCATACATATGTTGGAAGTATGAGGCCAAATACCGCATGTTATTTATAAGCTACTGTAACTGATCGATTTTATGCCCTCATAAGGGTGGGCTAAGTAAATGACCTGTCCTAGAGCTACAAAGATGATATTTTTTTGTTTCTTGAATCCCTTATAGGAAGTGAAGGTTATGTATTTCAATTCTCCTCTTCCCTGACCTCTTTCAGTTCTAGAAATGCCACTTCTTTCTGTGGTGCCTGGGTATTTTTGTAAAAGTACTCCTTTGACAAGAAATTTCAAATGCCAATATGTCATAAAAAAGGGAAATTTACTTATATGACTAGATTAAAGTAATCATCCAGGTATTAAAAGAAACATCAGTGCTAGGTATTTTATATTGTATTGATAGTGAAATTGTCTTTAATATTTTTCTGTGTAATTCACGATGTGGTTTGCTATATTGGTGTAGTTATTACATAGAGAAGGCTTTAGAACCTGGCATGGTTTACTTAAACTAACTTCAGGGTCTTCCTTGATGACCCACACAAACATCAGGTTTTCCTTAGAGTAGTTGGTTCTAGGTTGCTGTCAGTCTTGCTACTGTTTTGGTAGTTACGGGTTTTAGGTTTTTTTTTTTGTACCGGGACTCGAACTCAGGATCTTCCTTTTGCCAGGCAGGCACTTGTGCCGCTGAGCTATATTCCCAACCCTGTTTTGGTAGTTATTGAAGATCTCAGTTCCCATACTGTACACAGGAGACATTTGGGAGGTGTTAGAGTTTCCTTTTACTAGCTGTGTAACCTTGGGTAAGTTTTAGATCTCCTCTGAATCTTACTCCTCATACGGGTTAAGGAGAGGCCAGTAATCCATCTCAGAGTTATAGTGAGTTCTCGATTTTAAGTAAAATTCCAATTCTTTCCTAACAAGATTTCTGTCTAGTTTTGTACCTTTTGTTGAACAGCCTCTTCTGCTTCCCCAGCTTTGACATGGTAGTTCATTTGCCTCCCGTGTTGTTGAATGGCTCCTTGTGTGATTGTTTCATTCTTAGATCTTAATGCCAGTGTCACTGCGTAGGAGAAGCCTGCTTTGACTACCTTCTGGGTCCTTTAATAATCCCAAGTAATCAATGTATATGTTTCCTTCATAACTTTTATTATTGTATGTACTTATTATGTTCTCTTGTGTCTGGTCTATGTCTGGTCTGTCTTCTTTCATACAAGTTTTTGAGGACAGGATGCCTGCTGTGGTCAGACTTTCCCCTTTGTGACCACAACACACAGAGCTTGGCCACTGAATAGAGATCTGGTATACAAACAGTACATTTAGTTTTAATGTTATTTTCTATATGCTAAAGGTAAAGCAATACTGTTTATTTCTTAGAAAGCTGTTGGTGTTTTGTGTTATTTATCCCTATCTGAGCTGATCTTCTCAGCTGAATAAATCAGCATTAGTAAAATCTAAGGCCTTTATTTTAACACCTTGGCCCAAACAGCCTCATACAGTGAGAACTGTCTCTCTGGAGCCATAGTGTGTGTTGGGTTGACTCATGGGCCCAACCGGCCTACAGTGTAGATGCACAGATCTGAGCCACTTCTGGAGATGTAGTTATTTATAGTGTGTGAAAAGAACCATTCCAAAGCATGCTTCTTTATGCAGCTTCATAAAATAAAACCTCAGTTACCTGGCATCTCCTGACATTCTCAGTTTTCTGACTGAGGAATCAAGCAAGAAGGAAAAACTGGGTTGGAATTTAACGAACCAGAGAGCTAGAAGATTTTGATTACAACAGCTGAGACGGGGACTTAGATTTAGATTTAAATTTCAACAATTCAATTTTATAGGGTAGATTTTAAAAAGAAGACACTTTTATTTGATTCATATATAAAATAATATCAGCTGGTGTGAAAATTAAGTGAGATATTGCATGTGAATATTAGTTTGGTGCATTGAATATAACAAGTGCTAATAGGGATAATTAGTTTAAAATATGATTAATAAGCATCCTGATTAATTGGCATCGTATGCTAGCCTTGGGTTTTCTTGTTAAGGAAGCCCATTGTGGGGAAAGGGTTAAGACCACAGTGACAAGAAAAATGGAAATAACAGAGGAAAGAGAACGGGCATGTGCAGAGTGTAAGCGGTGGTGTAGGCCACTAGGATGGGGAGGATTGCGTGCAGGCTCTGAGCGAGTGGTGGTGGGAGCTTGCCCGGGAGGTCGTTGCAGTCTGCTTGAGCTTGATGGCTTTGTCATTCTTCAGAACCCTCTGCTCCTGTGATTTGTGACTTGATACTACTCTTTCATTTTTTACAGTCATCACCCTAAGCTACTTTCTTAGAATTGTTGAAATATCACCACCCTTGGAAACTGGAGTGACGATTATCCCATTTTTCCAGCAGCAGACTCTGGTTGGATAGAAGAAAAGAAAAAAAGGATAGGATATTTCTGAAGGTCTGCGAGCCAAACAGTGATGTGAACATCAGTAAACCCTAATGGTATCACTATGGAAATTTTCTAGCAGATAAATTTGGTTATTTGGGGAAATACCCATATATATGGAGCAGTTTATGACAGTATGAGATTATATTTAATATACACAGGTGCTTAAAATATCTTACAAGAAGGCAGAAGAATATGTGGCTCCTATTAAAAAGGCATATCAAAAATTTTTCATAATTGTTAATCTTTAGAATATTCAGACAAAGAATTCACTGAGTGTTTCAGAGAGCCAGTTGTTTGGTGCTGTGTGCAGTTGTGGTGATTTTTGTGGTTGACTTTACTCACCTACATCATTAACATGCTGGGTGGTTGAAGCACCAAGATTAATTATTTAATGTATGATGAATTCTTACTAGTGGATTTACAACTTTGTTTATTGTTTGCCTTGTGTAAATTTTGTTTTGATTATAAAATGAAGGTGTTACCAAAGCTTAATTTTTTAAATTGAAATATTATCTGAGAGTAGTCATTTTTCTTATTAACAATGCTTTTAAAGTAATTAAAAGGAAATAACGTATTAAGGGAATACCATTGTTACCAGTTGTCACAGACTGGCAGACTGTATAAACAACTACCTAGAATTTTATTAGGACTTTAGTGGTTTTACACATTTGCAAAACTGGTGCAATTTAGAACTAGAAACAACCTGATTGTCTAGCCCATCCTCATCCCTCTGCAGACGAGGAAATCGAGACTGGAGTAGTTATATAATCTGCCCAAAGTCACACATCACGTTATAAGTGGATCTTTTTTTTTTTTTTTGGTCTTTTTGAGACAGGATCTCGCTGTGCAGTTCAGGCTGGCCATGAGCGCACTTTGTAGCCCAGGCTGGTCTCGAACTTGCAACAATCCTACTGCCTCAGGCTCCCGTGTGCTGGGATTACAGACATGCGCCATCATGCCTGGCTTATCAGCGGATTTTAGAGTGGGATCCAATATATGCAGTCCTTTCCACCATTGATGCCAGCTGTTTTAATCCTGGGAGCTGGTCATTTGGATTGTGTCTTCATGGAGAACTTGGCAGTGGAGCTGGCTAGGAGGGGAGATGCAGAAGGGACAGTGTCTAACAGGAGAGCCTCTGCCATCAAACTGGTAATTCTTTTATTCTCTTTCCTAAGTGGGATTCCTTGTTTTTGGTTTCCTGGTTTACTATATCTATCTGTCTATCTATGTATATATGTATATAATTTCTTTTTTTTTCCTACTAACTTCCTGAGACAGGAGGCAGGGTACCTTTTTAAAAATTTTTTGATGCTTTGTGTGTCAGAAATGTCTTGTACCAAGTGTTTGGCTTCTAATCTGGCTGTGTCTAAAAATTTAGGTTAATATTTTAGTCAGTGGTTATGCAGCAGTGAGAGATTAACCTTGATATCTCAGTGTGTAAATAAAAAGGCCTATTTCTTTTGTAAAGTCTGCAATGGGCTGGGCTCCTCATGGCTTCTTTGTGTGGATAGGGCTGCTTTCTTGTGCAGTTCCCCATCCTGTTGCCCCTTCGCAGCTGAAAGAGAGTCCTGGTTTGTTACAGCTGACACCCCTTTGGCTAGAACTAGTCATAAAGGCCTGTAAGGATGCCAGGAAACGTGGACCATCACAAGAAGGGTCATAAAACTGTAACTGGGTATCATGATTGAAGATAAGTTTGTCTTAGAATTTTGTCCAGCTTTCAGTGTTATTGTTGAGCTAGGTGCTACCTGCTTCCCAGGTAATTGTGTCTTTATTTTCTCTTTTCTTCTAGCTTTTTGGAACCTTTGCATTATTTCCTAAATGGTAAAATTTCAACGTGATACAGCTGGGGATTTAGCTCAGTGGCGCCTTGCCTGCCTGGCAGGCATGCAGCCCTGAGTTCAAGTCCTGGTACCACACACCCAAAAAAATTTTCAACGTGATGTGCGTGATTATTTGTTCTTAGGATGTTTTGAGCATTTATTGATCCTTTCAATCTGTGAAGTTGTTCCTCTGTTCTAGAAATTTTAAAAAATTTCTTTTGCAGTTTCTTTCCTTTCATTTTCTTTCTCTATCTGAAGCTCTTCTTTGACTATAGCAACTCCTCAGGTGATTTTTTTTTTTTTTTCAATTTTTCATGTGTTTTTGATGGGTTAGGTTTCTTCAATTTCTTCATTAAAGTTTTAATTCTGACAATGCACTTTTGTTTTCTTACTGTTCTATTTTCTCCTCTCCACTTTTAAAAAATAGTCTGACTCCTGTCAGATTCTGATACCCTTTCTCAGGCTTGCTTTTATCGTCCTCACTTCTAGAAGGCTTGGATGTTATTCTATTTCAGTATATTTTTGTATTGCTGTGAATGGAATTCAAACTACCACTTGAGTACACAGTACCTTTAGCCCATGCTTAGAGTTTAGTGACTTGTAGTTACCACTGCCCGTGATGGCTTTGTCTAGGTTTCATTGTCCCCAGGCTTTTGAGAAGATAGTGGAGAGTATGTTTAGTAAGGAGCTCGCCCAAAGCTGGCTAGGTCAGCCTGCCCTGCCTGCCTCCTCCCTCCCTTCCCTTCAACTTCCCCTGCCCCTTCCTTCTTCCCCCTTCTGCTTCCTCCTCTGCCTTTCCCCCTTCCCCCTCTTCCCTCCCTCCCTTCCTTCCTGGAGTTTGTTGAAAGATGTAATAGTTGTATTTTATAGGAGACCCAGCTCAGGCACACAGAGGGAAGAAATAAGGCTTATTTATTTATTATCATGTATTTTCAACACCAAGAGCCAATTCTCCAATGTGAAAAGCAGTGTTTTCAGTTCTGACGCTATCCAGTTAGCACAGATCCTGTGGGTTGAGAGCTCAGTCCCATAAGATTGCCTCCATTTCAGAGGCCCTACGAATCCCGGGTTACTGTTTCCAACTAGCAGGGCCTTCTCGGATAATTTTCTAGAAAGGATCACAGAACCCAGTAAGCATTTTATGTTAATTGGTTTGTTAAAGGACACAACTAAGCAACAATACAATGGAAAACATGCATAGCACAAGATCTGGGGGTGATGTGGAGTTTGATACTCTCCCAGTACTTCTTTGTGTCTAGAAGCTCCCTCAATCTGAAGAGGTTCCTGCTTTAATTTTTTTTTATTGGTTATACAGATTTATGAGTTTCATTTTGGTGGATTTGTACGTATGCATAACACTTTGATCATTTTCACCCTCGTACTAGCCCACCCTGAGTTTCACGTGTGTGTGTGTATTTCAGTGCATATATTTTGTTCATTTCCAAACCCCTGTTACTCACCTCCCTGATTCCCTTCCTCTGGTCTGATAATAGTTTCCTGTCAACTTTGTCATTTTCTTCATATTATACACATTAGGGAGAACATGTGATAATTGTCCTTCCTGAGTCTGGCTCAGTGCTCAATGTGGTGGTCTCCAGGTCTATCCACTTTCCTGCAAACTTTTATTTTTCTTTATGGCTGACTGATATTCCATTGTGTTTATATGCAGTATTTTAAAAATCCATTTATTTGGTTTTTTTAAAAGAACAAAAACAGTAACAAAGTAACAAAGACAAAACAACATAAAAACAATAAAAACAACATAGAATTTCAAAACAAGATGATAGGAATTAACAGTGGTTGTTATATTACATATTGCTGTCTTTAACAAAGTTGCTAAGATTACCAGATGTAAGAATGCAAGATTGATCAAACAATTAAAAGAGAATATAAAATAATTTTAAAAAATTAGAAATGATACAGAGCTTCACTAAGCAAGATGGTAGGTATTCAACAATGGTTGTTATACAGCCACAACCAAAAACATACTCA